CTACACACGGGATGATATTGGAATATTATTATATAGCTCATATATTACATAGTGTGTCAGTAGGCTGAATTTTCATGCACGTTGGAGGACCTTCCATTAAATGGAAGGATCTGAAGAAAAACTTTGATAGCCAATGGATGCGGGTGTTTCAAGTTCGTACTTTGTGGCATTCTTTATGGGAGGCCTATGTTTATCAATACACTTGTGATCAGCTGAGTAAAATTTTTTCTAATAAGAAGTTAAACCTGCCTTTAAAGAACTAAAGAAATGAAGTAAAGAAGGTTGGCCAAATCGTACCAGACGATGAAACGATGGCGTCACTATATGAAATATTTATGAGAAATATCCTTATTTTTTAAGGACTTAATAAACACAAAAAACACCTCTCTAAGTAGCCACAAAAAAAAGTTATCCTTTTATTTATTTTTTATAACTGTTCCGAAATTATTTAAAATAATGGTTTCTGAACGCACTGGAACGCACCTAATGATGATTCATTTCACGTATGAAAGGACTTTGTATTCAAAGACTAATTATTCACGTTTTCTGAATAGTTGTTAATTGTAATTTAATTCAATTAGTATGTAGGCATCAAATCTACTACTATACTGATTTATTATGTATGTACTGGATTCATGTCATAAAAATGATTATGTAGCTTCATATTAAGCTAAGCGTTTTGTTCAATTACGTACAACGGGACATCATGTGACATCGTCAAGTTACATCTGCGGTCATCGATCGACATTGATTGTCACCCGGCAATCATCTACATAATATCTATATATCTTACTTGCTTCATTCGTTGTGGATTGTGATACGTCCTGCACAAATAGTAGTAGATTTCCTTCTGTTCTTCTTCTGTGTGAGTAGTAGGTTTGGACCTCGGCATTGTTTTACGGACTGATAACTACCACTTGTAAAGATTATTCTGTGCTTTTGATTTCTGCATACCGATTTTGCATCTTGCATATTTGTGAGAGCCATCATGCAGACTACAGCTACACAACAACGACAACTATCCCTGCGATTGCTATGTGTTAGTTGTAACATATGCGTTAATACACTTCGCCACCATCTCGTTTTTGAGCTTGATACCAGAGTAATTTCTAAGATCCGCGAGTGGAATTCTTTAACAATAGTACATATTTACATATCTACTTATTTTATAACACTAACATAAGCCATCACACACAAGCGTACATTATAATACAAATCTAATTCTTATTTTATATCACTGAAGAAGATTACCTAACCTCAAAAGTATTGGTGACGTTATTATTAAAAATTGTGGCTATTTAGATATGATTTTCATACGGGATGATGTTTACAACATAAAAGCAAACCAATCTAGCTATAACTTGTTTGGGACATGAAAAATAAAACTCAAGTCCAGCTCCTATAGAAATTTGGCCATTGTTCTTTCACATAATTTTCTTTAGAAGACATAGTGTATTGAAGAATTTATTAAAGATTGCCTCGACTTCAGAATATAACATGCGGAAACTATTTTATTACTTTTAATTAATGAAGTCGGCTTTTAAATTTTATTATTTACATTTTTAGGGTTCCGTACCTCTGAAGAAAAAAACGGAACCCTTATAGGATCACTTTGTTGTCCGTCTGTCTGTCTGTCTGTCTGTCTGTCAAGACCCGTTTTCTAAGGAACGCGTGGAGGTATCAAGCTGAAATTCATATCAAATACTCCCTTGGAGCTGTGAAAAAATCAAACTTCTAAGCCAACGCAATCAAAAGATACAGCCGTTTATGCCGCAAATTTTCGACATTCGCAAGGGAATCAAAACCTACAGGGTACTTCCCGTGAACTCAGAATCTTGAAATTTGGTACGAAGCAACGTTTTATAGCAGATATAAAGGAAAATTTGCGAAAAGCATAAATTTTAGTTACATCATATAATAAAAATATTTTTAATAATTTTAAACTTAAAAAGAAAAATATAACATTGATGGAAACTATAATAATTTATTTAAAAATTTTAGAATATTACCTATACATGTAAAACTTAAGTACTTAATTGCAATAGATCAATTTAAATCTCTAGAGTTTAAAACAGTTCGGACATTTAACAAAAATATTAGAATTACTTCTCGAAAGAAATACGTTGAGCGTTTGAGGGTTAACAATTATTACGGCAAGAGGACGAGAAAATATCTAGTACCACGTATTTTTAACGAGATATTATTTGAAGACGAATGTAAAAATAAAGAAAAATTTAAAACGAAGTTGAAAGCGTGGTAGCTAGATACGTGTTAATACTATACGAGTAGTCTTAATTAATAGTTAAATGTGAAATTATTAATAAGTCTAAATATGTGTAAGTTTAAATATGTGTAAGTTTAAATATGTGTAAGTTTAAATATAATTAAGTATATAGATAGTACTGCTAAGTTTAAATTTAATTTTTCTATTTTTTTGTTATTTTTTTTTCTTCTATTTTAAGTTGTACTCGTAAGTTAAGATTAAGTTATTAATTACAGTAGGTACATAGAATGTAAGTGGGTGATGTATTCGCCAACAAACTGCCCTGCAGTTTGGCGAAAGTAGTGTAAGAAATAACCGAATGTATTTTTGTATAATAAATAAAAAAAAAATAAAAAAAAAACTTATATACCTACGGATTCGTTCGGAACCCTCGGAGCGTGAGTCCAACTCGCACTTGGCCGGTTTTTTTATTAAACTTTAAGTTTAATTTTCTTACTCGTTAAGTGGACTAAAGAATAACACACTCTCAAGGAAACAACTAGTGTTGTCTAACAGTTACATTAAAAATATCAATCTCTATTTTCACACCTTTAGGTTGGATTTTTTTGCCAAATTTATATGCGACTAATCCTGAAATATAACCTGTTAATTGAAAAAAAGGTTCATCTAGATCAGTTCAAAATTGAAAAAGTTCCTTCTTTTTTGACATTGGATAGTAACATACTTCGTATCATATGGGCAGGCAGGGATGATGACCATTGTCATTTAAGTTAAGTACTCCACCCTATCTCGCAAATAAACTTGACAACTCCTGTGAGACGCAAAAATATCAAACAAGGCGGTCTAAGTGGTCTTTAAAAGTTCCAAGCTGTCGTATTCAGTTATTTCGGGGTAGCTTTAGATACGCAGCCTCAAAATGCTGGAACGATTTACCACCCCCACTGCGTAGTTTGACATCGTTATTAGTTTTTAGAAAAAAATACAGAATTCATGTTCTCAATATACAAAAACGTATTTAAATATTATTTACAGCTGCCACCTAACAGACATAATATACTCATTATTAGCAAACGTCACATGTAGGTTCTAGTAAATTTTTGTAGTGTGTAATAGAAGTAGTAATAGTAGTAGATTTTATAATTATTATATTGTTGGTAATAAATAATTTGCGATGTTTGTTATTATAAAATCAGCAATATCTGCATCTCACTTTTTCACTTTTTTATTTTTGTTTTTTACTCACTATGTGTTTATGTGTTTTGTTATTATAAAATCAGCAATATCTGCATCTCACTTTTTCACTTTTTTATTTTTGTTTTTTACTCACTATGTGTTTATGTGTGGTAGGTGCAACAAGTGTAGCGTTGTAATAGTGGTACTGGTTGTTGCATATTCGACCGTACGTTACTCACTAGAGGGCGCACTGAAAACCAGCTTCGTGGATAATACCACGAAATATTGCTGAGTGTAGCCCTTTTATACCAAACGCACATACATAATAAAAGTTTGATTGTAATGATTTTATTTAATTTTGTTTTGATCTGTAGTTATAAGTTTTTTAGTGCATAATATCTTTTGTAACATGTGTTTGGTGTAATAAATAATTTTTCTTTCTTTCTTTCTTTCAAAGTTTTTTGAGCGTTACTTTTCATTATAAACGTTCTGTAGTGGCATCCTCTTACCGGTAATCGAAGTGTATGGCGAGCCAGTAGATGGAGTAACGACTTGGTAAGAGATGCAAGAAGTCGATAGATGCAGAACCAAAACCGTGCTTTGTGGCATTCCATGGGGGTGGTCTATGATCAGCAGTAGACTTGTAAAAGACTGTAATGATAATTATGACGTTGGTGTTTCATTAGATACTAACAAAGTAAATTCCAGTTATTTATTAATTATCAGTGTATAGATGAAGTGTACTCTTACTAACATAACCATTACTTTTGAAAGGGCTCTGTTTAGGCATAATCTTAAACACACTAAAACTTGCATTCAAAACCGGTTTGATGGCTTGGGCCAGGCGGCGCTCGTTTTGCACGCGGCGGCAACGCCCTGCCCAGTCTAGAAGAATAAGACGTCCGCGCGGCCGTGTCGGTTAAAAGTATTTAAGTTACGCTACCATCGTTAGGTCGCGTGCCTCTTATTGTGTTGTCTTATTTCGTTCGTATAAGTGATAACGAGGCTTATCCTTGAGTTTTGAGTTATAATTTAACTTCGATTGCCATTAATTTGCGTCAAAGAGTTGTTTGTGTGGCATTTAATATCATAATAAGACATTTTTGCTTTGGCGGTGACAACTCTAAAACTTTGTGACCCGAGAGAAGGTCGCGTTCGTATTCTATTATAATTTTGTGCTAAGTGAACATGGAACATTGAACTTTGACCGACAGTTCTTAAGTTGTGCAGTGTGTCACTTGTTTTAAGTTCGATTAACGTTGATTTAGTTAAAAGACATTATCTTTTTTGGTCCAAATATGAAAGTGCCGGCCAATAAAAAAATATGCTGTATTCCGTTAGAACTTGTCCCCCTGAGTATTTATTATTATGACACCAAAGCTGTAGGGTCATTGTCCTTGGTTTTATTGGAGTTCAAAAGTTCAACATCTTCATACATTTTCAGTGAATTTAATAAACAAAAACAAATGATTTGTTCTACCATATTTTTATTTTGAACATCGTTTAGTAAAATATATTGGTTCTTGACCTATTTTGGACATGTTGATCTTATTTTGTGTTTTTGAGGATTATAAGTAAAATATGTATACAGGGGTTATTTTCTTTAATTAAACACTATAAAATCATCATCGTCTGGTACAACAATAATGTTCTCCAATCCATAAGCTGGAGGGGTTATTGCTGGCAAATGTCGTGCATGGCTCATGTACCATATAATGCACATAATATGGGAGCAGCATCCAATTGTTCGCTTTCCTATGATGCACGAACAATAATAGTGAGCGATTGCTTGTCGGCCTGATAAAAACCTATCTATTATAATGTAGACATAATACTGTCTTGCTCTAACATGCCGCGATTGCAGTCGGCCTCTTATCATCCATAAATCATTGCCCTGCAATTCCGCCAAGTCTTCATTTGATAACTCATTGCTGAGCTCAATTGTGAATGCTCCATTGTCAAGGACGTGCTCACCGTAAAAGCTTTTGGCCTGTTTTAGTTGATAAACGCCCAGAGCGAATAATAATAATTCGTTCTCATCCATTCTTGGAAAATCTACAAACTCTGGCATATCTGCAGTCATTAAAGTAAACTGAGCACGTCTGCGATTGTAGTTATGGCGTATTACAAGATCTGCCAATCTATTTTGCATATTAATTCTTTGGTGGATAATCTCTAAAATCGCAGCAGCATTTGGATTATCTTCAATCAAAACATGAAAACGATTTATCATCGCCGCTGCTATCTTGAAATACTCGAACATGCTGGGAAGAGCTCTGTTATTATATACATTTCGCAACAGGCGAAAATCTCTTTTGAACCTGCCGTTGACCACTTCAACCACCCAACGACAGATTGTTACCAGTCTGGACTTATTGGCCTGATCCGTGGTTAGCTGTGTCTCATTTGGATACTTTGTTTGAGGCATATGTTGTACGTATCCGCAAGATTCCAGATTTCTTGCTGAGTCTCGAAAACCACGGTCCAGAATAAAAACATCGCCACTCCTATAAAACCAGTGGAAGGCACTGTCAGCATTATTAAGCATATCATTCATTATATCTGCGTCAGACGTGGTGGCAGCATATGGTCCGTTAACTTCGATAATGTGTCCATCACAAGAAACCAAGAGGAACGGTTTTAGGAGGTTTCTGTATTTGTGGTGGCTGTAAGACTTGCGTTGGAAAAAATAATTTCCACTTTTTTGCAGATAGATGTACGTGCCATCACAAATCGTGATAGCTTTCCTTTCATCTTCTGGGCTCGATGGGTTCCCAAACAGATTGTTGGGTAGAAAAAGATTCCTGTGTGCTACATACTCACGGGAAATATGGTCAAACCCAACATTTAAGGGCACAAAATCTTCTAACAGAGCGTTGCGTCCGATTTTTAACCACGTATGAAACGCTGTTTCGCTACATTTAAAAATATTAGCAAGCCGCGCGTTCGAGTCACCTGTTCTTAACTTGACTAATAGAATAGAATAGAATAGAATAGAATAGAATATTTTTTATTCAATATACATTACATGTGTAATTCTTATTGAAAGTCATTTTTTACTTTACCACTGGTTCGAAAAAAACCCTCTGTCCTGGGAAGAACCAGCAAGAAACCCAGCGGGACTTTTTTTAAATAAATTTTACAATATAAATGATTACGAACTATTTACAAAATTTATTTTAGAAACTGCTTTGAAGCGATCACCTCATTCCCAGGGGTTATTATCAACCATGTATTCATTTATACTATAATAACCCTTTTTATACAGTTTCAGCTTAATAAAACATTTAAACTTGGTAATAGACAGAACCTGTACACTTTCCGGGACCTTGTTGTAATAGCGTATACATTGCCCCAAGAATGAATTACTGACTCTGTGGAGTCGAGAAACTGGTATCACTAGCTTGTGTTTGTTCCTAGTGTTTACAGAATGTATATCACTTCTTTTACTAAAACTATCTTTGTTTTTGTGAACATACATTAAATTTTCGTAAATATACTGAGAGGCCAAAGTTAATATATTAATTTCTTTAAATTTATCTCTAAGAGACTCTCTCGGTTTTAGATTGTAAATAGCTCTAATGGCCCTCTTCTGTAAAACAAAAATAGTTTCTGAATCAGTCGCATTTCCCCATAGCAAAATCCCATAAGACATTATGCTATGAAAATAACTAAAATAAACTAATCTAGCTGTCTCGACACTAGTGAGACCTCTAATCTTTTTTACAGCATAGGCTGCAGAACTTAGTCTGCTTGCTAATTTGGATATATGGGGGCCCCACTGGAGCTTTGCGTCAAGAGTGATGCCAAGAAAAACAGTGGAATACTGCCGCCAGTAAGGTTCTTTTATTCTTTTTAGTTCTCAGACTTGGTAAACTATCTAATAATTCAGTAAACTGATCTTGAGTCAGTCCTGTCCAAGTATGAAACTCGGCTGGTGCTATATTTTCATACTGCTCAAAATCAAGTATTTCCTCCGTAATATGTCTTTGTAACATCGACACGATAGTCATTATTTGAGCTGCAGTGAATTCCTCAGAAGATTTGTCTTGTACAGGAAGTAAATGCCACAGATTTTGCTCCACGTGTTCATTACAGACACGCGCGCTTTCTGGCACGAAATAGCTGTAGCAGCATACCATGCGAAAAATTATGTTCTCTGGAACACGACGGCGAGATTCATTCGTACAATGTAGGAAAATGCAACTATTTGCGGTGTTTGGAGCACGAAGAAGACCTGGCAAAATCAGCGAAATTGGTCTTGAATTTGGAACTTCCGATGGATCACGGTCTTGATCAGCTTGCTATTCAGCCTCCCGAATAAGTCGCTGGTGCGTTCGTTCCGTTCTTTGCCAACAGGGTCGACAAATGAACGCAGTAGGCTCCAACTGTCGAGCTACTATATCTTCTATCACTATTTGGGCGATATCAAGATATTACATTTCTCTGGAAACCCAATCATATCTTCGCCGATTCTCTGTCGATGCACGGCACGCGATACACAACTCTGCCATGACTCGCAGCAATGTTCAAACTTAACAACGGAGATAACAAAAACAAAACAAATCAAAGCACAAGAACTAGTGGGCATCACACAGACATACACGGCAGCGTTGCTTTCGGTACTAAACAATTAACGCGAATGCTAGCAAACGAATGAGCTTGGCGCGATGGCGGTAGTTCGCGGGAAAGTGAGGGGCATCTGCTCGCTGCACCGTATTCCATTGTTCGCGTGAGTGTTTACCTGCGCGGCCATTGTTATTGCCATTTTCTAGGAAAAAGTCCCGGCATCCCAGCCGATTATGCAGTAATATTAGTGGTTTAAATGTTATCTTGTCAGAAATAGGTCAAGAACCAATATATTTTACTAAACGATGTTCAAAATAAAAATATGGTAGAACAAATCATTTGTTTTTGTATATTAAATTCACTGAAAATGTATGAAGATGTTGAATTTTTGAACTCCAATAAAACCAAGGACAATGACCCTACAGCTTTGGTGTCATAATAATAAATACTCACGGGGACAAGTTCTAACGGAATACAGCATATTTTTTTATTTATTTATTTATTTTATTTATATAACAATTTATGTACACACAAAACAATGTTACAAGGAAGAGAAAAAAAAAGATATTTTGTACAAAGGCACTGCTTATTTCATATTGAAATTTCTTCCAGCAGGCCTGATACTGGACAAATTAAAAGAGAAGCTGATCTAGTGGGCACTCTAATACTAAAACTTTATAATATTAATATACTTAACATAAAGTAAAGATAATAAAAACAAATATCCATGTAAACATACATATAACTAAATACCACTTATAATACATATACACATATATATATATATATATATATATATAAATATTTTATTTTTTATTGGCCGGCACTTTCATATTTGGACCAAAAATGTATGAAATCCCGATGATGTCATTTGAAGTTAATTAATTGTACAATAAAGTTGATAAACTACTATAGTGAAATAGAAGCAGAAAGTCTAATTGGTAAACGCCATTGGAGTGATCGAAGTTGTGTAGCCGAACAGCGTACGTGGGCTGCTGGCCGATTACATCGGTTAAGTCAGGTTACACTTACACACTACATTTACACTTACATACCACCCACTTCCCCCTGAAGGCGCCTTGTGGTCGACCCTACCTCCGGAACTGGTTCATATTTGTTTATCCAGCCAGTATAATAATTACCCATAGGCCATTGGGCCCGAACCCTCTGTTGCTCGTCGAGTGTGCTACTATGGGCCTTAGCCCAGTCGACCTTTGTCGGGGCAACTGGGGGCCGTAACAGGCTATATTACTAATTTGTCATCAAACGAGTACATTAAGTTAATTGAATAAATTTATTAAATAATTGTGTCAGGTAGGAATAACTGTTTCATTGTATTATAAAATTCTGTTTTAATCAACATTACCTAATATTCCAAATTAAACCTTTTTAGTACAAAAGACTTCCGAGGCTTCAGACAGAATACTGCCTACTCGCAGTATTCTGTCTGAGGACTCAGAAGTTTTGGAGACCCTTTTTACTAAAAGGGTCTCCAATTTTCGTCACCCACTCTAAAAACACAAAGCAATATAATAGTGCTATTTTACGACAGTACTATTAAAGCGTGATCCTATATCTTCATCTACAATCTTACATTAATGTAACAATAATTATGCTACGACGTAGAGTGCCCCTGCTACCTATAAACGTTTCGGTACTGCTTCCGTGAATCCACATACGCAGAAAAGTGAGAATTTATATATTTAAATAAAATCATCATCAACTACTGCTACTTTTCGAAAAAGCTAGAAAATGCGATGCAAATTTTAAAAGGAATATGCTACTTAATTTGCAAAATTCATAAATTAAATAATAATAATATGATTGTATTTAAGACCGAAATCCGGTGACGGCAGCCAGTCTTGATGCAGACTAGACTTCTGCATAGGACAGGATTTTCCCTCACTCTCGTAGTTCGGGCGGCAATCTAATACGACCAGAGAGAGGATCAGGCGCAGGACCACCGGCTTTACGCCGATAACTTTCCGACACCATACTTATTCTATATAACTTTCCGACACAACACTTATCGGGTTTTTCTCTTAAGAAATTCTATTTAGAAAAACCCGATAAGTATTTTGGTCTCACCCGGGATTCGGAGAACACGATCAATAGTCGCGCTTACGACCACTAGCCCAACGGGAACGATTTATATTAAGGGTCTTAGAATTGAAATTTGTTTCTGTTTCTGAAAAATTATACGTAAGATAAATTAAAATTATATAATACACTGTAAAAGCTTTATTTTAACAGTGTAATATTGTATCTTATCAATAACAGTAATATATATATATTTTAGTTTTGGTTTAACACGATCAATTTAACGCAATTTCATTGAGATCGGAAAATAGGGTACACAAAAGGGGTATTGTTTCCATTATACCTGGGAAATATCAGCATGAAAACAAGTCCATTAACTCATTGCCAAGGGTAGCATAAATTCTTTTGAAGTTTATTTTCGTTATAATGCATTGTCACAAAATATACTGAATTACCTCCGATTTGAATAATTTTAAATGTTTATGTTTTTGGCAGGCTTCAAGAAAAAGAGGAGATAAAAATCTCCTCAACTTTTTTTATAAGGAAAAGGGGCAAACAGTTAATCTGATGGTAAGCGGTTGCTGTGGTCCTTAGACTTCTATATATATCCTCAACTAAGAATCGAAACGTAGATGCGTTGTAACCCCCGAGAACTAAGATGAAATATCTCATTTCCATTGAAATGAGCCCCAATTATCTTTTTTTTTACTTATTATAAACTAGTGGTTGACCACAATCCCACCTGGCGGTAAGTAGTGATGGAGCCCTAGACGTTGAATCGCACTGTCTTAGTTTTATCACTGTTTATGCACTGTTTTATCTACACACAATAAGAAGCAAACACAATTAGGCTGCTATTTTATGTTAGTAGTCTATAAGAGCGTCGTGTTTCCCTAGTTGAGTTGACCCATTTGTGCTACTATAATATAGCTGCAGCAATTCTCTACTATGTATCATTAGAATGTATGTTACGTGATATTATTATCAGTTATGAATTGATTTTGAAGATAATTTTGAAGATAATTAATAGAATCAGGCGTCACTTTGCGAAAATATTTTATATTAAAGATGTTAAAAATTAAATAGTTAAGATCCGCAATATAATCAGGATTTATCTTTTTGCTTTAAGGTCGTTATATTATTTCCGTAACTATAATTATTTGAGACTTGAAATTTGACGTGTAGGAAGGTAATCCTTTATCATTCCGTCCTCCATGATGGCATTACTCCGTAGGCGTGAAGCAGAAGTGCGGTGGTCTTGCTCTTCAAGAAAGACAACAACGCTCTCTTTAAGAACAACAGGCCGATTACCCTTCTGGCCGTGTCTGCGTGCTGTTTTCGATAGTTATTACGAATCGTTTCGCACGCATGCTCGACGACTTCCAGCCACCCGAAAAAGATTTTGCACCACCTATACCTAAGAGTACTATCTGCCACTTTGTCTTGCGTATGGGGTTATGAGAAGGCCTTTGATTCAGTCGAAATTTGGGCTATGCTGCAGTTTCTTCAGCGGTGCCAAATGGACTGTCGGTATGTTGAAGTACTTGTACAGTTAGCTCACGGTGGTACGGAACCATAATACGAAACCTATCTAACTGCAGGCGGGTTTAAGACGGCGTGGCTATACATGAAACTCCTCACCGCTGCTTTGGAAGACGTTTCCAAGCTACTGGACTGGATAGAATACTGTATTCATATCAATGACGAGCACGTCACACACTTTCGATTTGCCGACGATATATTGCTTATGGCAGAATTGCTGGAGGACTTAAGAACTATGCTCAATGACCTCAATAGTGTCTCCCAACGGATAGGTCTTATGATGAACATGGACAAAACAAACATCATGTGTAACGTCCATGTCACACCTATGCCGGTAGTTGTTAGGAGCACTAAGTTCGAAGTTGTTGACGAGTATGTTTACCAGAGACAAATAATCCGATTAGGTAAGTCCAACTTCGACCAAGAGGTCAATTGACGAATTCAACTCGGCTAGGCAGCGTTCGGGAGATTACGACACATCTTCTCGTCAGGTGTGTCTCAAAACTTGAAAACAAGATTGTACAACCAGTGCGTGTTGCCAGTGATGACTTATGGTTCTGAGACGTGGTCCTTCACTACGCCAGGGCTACGCTCGGGGTTTTTCTACATGATAAACTTATAAATGATGATATCCGCAATAGCACTAGATTAACCGACATATCTCAACGGATAAGTAAGCTGAAGTGCAAATGGGCTGGCCATATAGTTCGAAGAACTAACAACCGATGGGAAAGAAAGGGTTTTGAGTGGCAGCCTCATACCGGCATGAGAAGTGTAGGGTGGCCCTCTTCTAGACAGAGTGACGACCTTTTAAGACATGCGGGAAGTCAGGTGGCTCTGGACCGTGTTTGTGGCATTCTTT